TATATATATATATATATATATGATCTCTACCTCATCAAGAGTTGAAAAAGTACATCGGAGGGCCTTCTCAAATACCTGAAATAAATAAACAAAAACACAGACAGACTTCAAAAGTTAAAATGGAATTTGCATGCTAAAATCCTGAAAACAAATATTAAACAAGTGCATGGAGGGAGCAAAAGCAAAACTCTTATGTTTTAAAAAGTGAGAGCCTAGAAGGCTTTCCCAATTAACTTGTAAACTGAAACACAACCAGATTGAACGCCACTAAGTAGAAGATCTAATACATACTGCAAAAATTTCTTTTTCAGAGGCACGATTACGTTCCAAGGAAAGCAAATATCGAACCCAAAGTTCTCCAACCCAGGGGCAATTTTTTATGGCCCTTGAATGAACATTGGTTACAGCACTGCCCACCTGAAGAAGAGGAAAAGAAAGTTTGAACTAGAATTGCTATTGTTCCATTAAAGAAAATAAAGAGAAATTAATAATAGGAGGAAAACCTTCAAGGTCCTGTCCAAATAGCGCGTATAATCAAGCCAGAGATCACTTGATACAGGAAATTCAGTAATAGCGCGATCGAAAAGAATTTGGACACGCGCTGGGTCTCCAGAGGACTGTTCGAATTTCACATAGTTCTGCAGAATCAAATGGATAAATATTCCTTTAATAAAAAATAATTATACAAATAGCCAGATAGAAGAACATTTCCGCTACTCCCAGATGGTATAGGAATAGAAAATGTAAAACAAATATTACTGTAAAAATTCATCAGAAAAAGTGAAGGAAATACCAAAACAGGAAACGTAAATGCAGTTTCTAGAAGATGAAAAAGTTCCTTAATACAAGAATTTACTTTTTCTTATAAGAAACAGATTTCTACTAATAACGATCAAACAAAATACAGAAAGACAGAAGAGAACATAGATTCTACTACGTAATAAATACAAATTCCATGTACCATGAACTCTTGAAGTCTTTCCAAGTCAGGTATATCCTGCCTAGAAATTTTTTCTTCAAGATGAACACGAGCATTGTACACATCCAATGCCTTTTGGTACGCGGAGGCAACATGAGAAGATACCCCATCCAAACTATCGGATTCAATATTGAGAATACTTCCCTGTTCTGCCTCCCAAGCCTTGTAAACAAGAAGTGTTGACCTCATATTAACAAGGGGGACTGCTAATTGCCGGTGGAATATACTTCGGATGCGCTGGACTTGCTTTTCTATCGCCTACAAAATTCAAATGCACTCTTAATAGTAGATCCCAAGAAAATACATTAGGATACAAACCCTTTATTGAAACTTAAAATATCAGTATTTCTTGTAAATGTTATAGAATACTCTAAAAAGATCAATGAAGAACTAAGAATGCATGAATTCAACAAAGGGAGCAACCAATAGTTGTGTCACTTCAGCATTCTACTCAACCAAGATCTAAAAACAAAAAGTAAGTATTCCATAGGTTGGGCACGTTTCCCCTCAACTTGAATTGTAGGACTACGACTATCAGTACCTTTAAGTCGTTCACTAATATGTGATCAATCATCAAAGTTGTGTTTGAATCTATTTCCTATAGGCTACAGGTTTAAGATTTCTGAATCGCTTAACAGCATAATACAAAGACCAGAGATATGTTTCAATACGTAAATTAGCAAGAATTAAACATACTAAATAGAATCACATGTAATAAAGTAAACATTGCATAAAAAGCATAAAGAAAATTCATAAGTTTTAACCTGAATGTCAGCCTCATCAATAGCGTGAAGAATAGCTTGCTCAAATTCCCTGTATGCTTCCCATATTTTATTTCCTTCAGCAACATGCAGACCAGTTGCTGTAAGAGCACGTTCAAATAGATCTCTTGCCTTGGAGATACCAGCAGGGGAACATTCTCGTACTGAGGGATCATATTCTTGAATGAAAGCTAAGTAGTCAGACCAAAGAGAGGTAGACTACAACAAACATAACATGGGAAGCGGTCAATTTCAAATCAATATGCCAAGCAAAGTTAGGAAAAGAAAACACAAAGAAGATTCATATCAAAGATTCATATCATCGTTATGCTAGGTTCAAATCAAAATTTCAATTCAAACGTCAACTCTTAGTGCATGTTTGGTTTGAGGGTTCAAACCACCTTGATTTTAGTTCAAACAGTGTTTTCTCTCACATAAAATGTAAATTTAAAAATTCTACTATAGTGTTTTCTCTCACAAAATTTGAATTCTGGTTCAAACCAAACAAGCACTTAAATTTTGATGTTATGTAACTCTAAAAAGATGGCAAGACTCTAGACTTAAAGAATTTGCCATTCGATTTTTTTTTTT